AGTACCAAGAATCTTCCTGGGGGTAAAGGGCGGCCGGCGCGTAAGTCTTACAACCTTACCGCCGTCTCTCAGCCGATTGTCTAGAAATATGAGGGGGCCTCGACCCCTCACACCCCTACGGGCCTTCACGGCCTGTTACAGGGACAGCTTTACATTACCTTTTGCCTCTATCTTCAGGATCGAAAAATAACCCAAGCCAGCAGTAAGGCCTTTGTGTCTTTACTTATCAAGAATAAAAGATAAATATTTCCCTGTGCTTAATTAATTTAAGCAAGATGTCATGAAGAAGTATGGGGGAGGTGGAGGTATAGCTTCACAATTCTTGACCTCGGTGCTAGATGGAAGTGGTCAGCTTCGCGTTACCGCCTCTTTAGCCCCTAGGGGAACAGCAACCGATACCCATTGGAAAGGAGACTGGGTGGGCCCCAGAGCCAGTAGGGACGTTATCGATAAGAGAATAGTCTGGCCCCTCACGTTAATCGAACCCCGGGGGTCCAACCCGTAACCCATCACTATGCTGACCGAGCCATAAGCTGGTTTATTCCTCGTATTTTAATAGTGTGACTACTTACACTTACATACACTTTACGCCACTAATGAGAGATTTGTTATGAATCTGACATGTATTTGTTGCATGTGGTGATAGCCGGAAAGAACTCCAGATCCTCAACTGGAGAACAAGATTGCGTCACGAAATGTAAGTGTATATTGAGAGGTTTGTCATCAGTCAACGTGCTCCACTCGTATTGGGAGGTGCTCGGTCCGCTCACCAGCTCTCGTGAGATTTTGTCATGATTTTCCGCAGTTCCTCCAGGAAAATGCCAGGGTAGTACCTCGATTAAACCACAGCCGATTCCTTTCAAATCTTTCCCGATTTAGCAATGAGCCTACCAACCGGCGCTATACAGTCCAGTTACTGATAACGTATATTAATGCACAAAAAGACACAAACTCCGTGGTTTTAGTCCGCAAGCGAACTATACCGAACGAACGACCGCCGCTTGTCGGCGAAGTTAATGCCAACTTTAGCGGATAGAGGGTGTCGCGTGGTCAGCGCAACGAATCCCCACGGCCATTAATTTCGGATTTTATAGACCGGAGCCGCTATTTCCTTGAAATAGCTCCTCAGTTATTCTCACGAGGCTGAGTGAACCCCGTTCCAGACCCACTACAATGCACAATAAAAGTAATCATTATTTGAAACTGATATGGGGGTGTTTGTGCGGTATGTTTGGTATGATCTAGACTTTGTACGTTGAGGTATCCAGAGAAATGGCTGTAGGACATTCGCCCACACGACATTGGACAATCAGAGCCAGCTGGGAAAGTATGGCGAATCTGAAACTCAGATTTTGTCTCACACTTGATAGCAGGGGGAAACGTCAGACTGTACGAGAAATTACGTCGGCCAGCTGCTTCCGCCCAGGAGTTCAGCGGTACGGCCAACACGCGGCATCACGGTTTGGACACTCCTGTAATGCATACAGGGATCAGAAGAAACCCGGAAGGGAGGGCGCCACATGAAATACCTAAATATGTTTAGATTATTTATATATTTATTGCGTATATAGTATTTGTTGTCTGCATGTGCTTTTACGAGTATATTATAACGCTTTCAGTATCAGGACTGCATGGTGATTGACAAATGATGGAATGGAAAGAGTTTGGAAGGACGCCGTTGTGGACTAATCGAGGTACTATCCCAGCATTTACCGGGAGGGACTGAGAAAACCATGAAATATCTGTCAAGATATTTGGTGTCCGGATAGAGATTCCAACCTGGTACCTCCCTAATACAAATCTGACACGTTACCTCTGTGCTAACCTGCTCAGTATATTTGTTATACATTTATTTATTCTTAATTTAAGCATATATGTGCATTTATTTGCTTGTATATATTTATTTGCTTACAGATTATTTAACTGCGTTGTCAATATCTCTGATAGTAAAGAATGGTAGAATGAAAGTGAATATTGAATTTGGAAGGAAATGGTCGTGGTCTAACTAGACGCACCATCCGAGCAGCTAACCGAGACCGTTACCATAATCAATATCCTAGGCGACATTCGAACCTGGTACCTTCCGAATAAAAGTCAGAAGCGTACAGAGTGTGATATGGATTGGATTCATGTGGCTCAGGATAGCGATCAGTGGCTGGCTCTTATGAACACAGTAATAAGTCTTCTGGTTCTATAAAAAACGGTAAATGTCGTGCATAGATGAGCACGATTGTTGTTATTCCTAACATTGTTTGGGGATTTTTCGGTGATGTTGATGCTAGGGTGTTGCTAGTTTGCTTGCACGACTTACTCTTCTACACTGAAGACTGAGGGAGTATTTTCCTCCGAAACGTCTGTAAAGTTCCACATGCAAGGAGATTATGGGCTCGCTCTCTCAATTTTCTTGTGCGAGTGAAAGCTACTGTGAGAGAGCTCTCTTCTTCTTTTGGTCAGTTTCCTGTTCATTTATCCTTCCTCTCCTCCGGTTTTGTTTTTTTTTTTTTGCGTATCGGCAATGAATTTGGCAGACACCCTGTAATGCAGAGAAACTCGGAAGAGCCGGTTTTTCCGCTCTGTACTACTACTACTTCTCAGACCGGGATTTTTGTAACCAATCTCTTGAGGTCACAGGCTCGAACCACTGTCCTTTTCTCAATTTATGCTCTGCCGGCATTTGGAAACGTCTTAACTGAAGTAAATATCAACTGAAACTTCACCGAGCCATGTGCAACTGCAACTCAACCTAAACATGTGTTGCAGTGGAGTTGGAACCATTGCGAACATATCAACTCTGTTGATGAGTCAGGTGCAACTCCAAATCAACCTAAACATGTGCTGCAGTGGAGTTGGAACCATTGCGAACATATCAACTCTGTTGATGAGTCATGTGCAACTCCAACTCAACCTAAACATGTGTTGCAGTGGAGTTGGAACCATTGCGAACATATCAACTCTGTTGATGAGTCAGGTGAAATACTACCATAGTTGAGGTGAAGTTCACTTTTCCATTGATATTTCCTCACACTGAGGTCTCTCCCCTAAACTGGGGGATTTTACACACGAAGCCATGCCACCACGAGTGTATCTGATATAGGGTTGTGTTAACTTTCCTGCTTTCAGACAATTTATGCCTAAAATGCTAAATATCGTAAATATCAATTGATATAATCACTTAGTTGTCGTAATATGTTTATTTTATTGTTCTAGACATGACCGTAGCGACGAATCGTCTCGTAAAGTTTCTCGTATGCGGGGTGCGAGACATAACTATGACAATGAAATAAGTCGACGTCAACATTTTGAGGGATCTACACGTTTTCAGACCCCTGGTGAATATGAACATCACTGCTACAGGAACAGGAACCCTTCAGATAGCTCCCTCAAAACAACATGGCGATTTTCTCGAAAACGGCCGACTATTTGGGTTAAATTTCAGTAATGTACGGAGAACGTCTTTCCTCCTCCGCCCCCCCCCCCATGTTATCTGCATAGGCGGTATCCAAGCGAAATATAATGTCCGTTAAAACTAGCTTTACTGGTCCGACGGGTTACGTTTTTGTTCGGTATTCGGTAACAAACAGCTGTCCACTGAGGAACAATCGCTGTGGTTTCCAAGAGAAGAGATCCAAGGTCAGTCGTATGTGACAAACTACGCGCAGCGTTCTTACACAGATTGTTAAAATTGGTTTTGTAACAGGTAATGAATTGTAAAATTTATATATTTTTCCAGTGTGGTGGGTAATCCTTAGGATGGCCTAATAATCGAAACATGTAGGTTGAAATCAATGATTTATTGATTAAATTTGCGCGTTATATCAGATTGTTTCTTATTGGGCAATGAAATTTTGTCCATTGGAGAGATTATATAGTTTGAATGACACGACGATTATGAACTGTGAGTTGGGAAGTGTATGTCGGGTAAGGTCGTGGTATTCCTCAAGGTACTATTGTTATTTGTCTTGAGACACTGTCGGAATTCGAGCGGGAATCTCATGGATACAGGAGTTCTGATGACAGGATCGCTGCTTTCGTTGTCTTAGCGAGTATCCGCTAGGAAGGGGTGCTAACAGGTCGACTGCTTGGGATATGTGCGGTGACTTTGTTCGCACTACACGCGCAGCCACTTTCTCGTCTCCTGACACTCTCTTCGCGCCTCTGCGGAATGCGTTGATGTCTGTGAGACGCACCTCAAACAGTGACAGCCGATAAATTTCCGATAGTGCGACCTGCGACTTACAGGCGCCTGCCGATCTGCTATAGCGAAGTTAACAAACAAAATTCAAGGCATGTAGTTACATAAGTAATGAATCATTTAAGATACAACATTATTTATTTGTGCTTTATTTATGGACGCTGTGTTTAACGTCGAATGGTAATGATGGATCTGAAACGATGTGAAAGGAATCGGTCGTGGCCCATTTCAAAGGGATTAGAGGACTAAATAATTTAAGGTTCTTGGTACAGACAGGCAATGGTGGATACTGACCCCTTCGCTTTAATTTATTTAAAAAAAGAAATTACTTTCAATTTTTATACAAATATAAATTTCATTTACGATATATCAAGGAAAATAAGGAAAAAGCGGCCAGGGCGTTAAGCTGACCACTCATCTCCATCTAATGCCGAGGTCAAAAATATGTCATTTCATAGCGCTTAATTAAGCACAGGGCTATACCTTTTTTATCAGCTGCATGTCATTTGGCTTTGAATGCGATGATCAGATAATTACGAACACTGAAATGGGGAGAACATGGAACGAATATGTCGCGGGCAATTTAAAGCACTCATATGATTTTGAGAGGGTACTGAGGAAAAGCTTGGAATAATCTCATGATAGCCCGTCTCTGGACCTCGATTCGAACTTGGGACTTCATGCATACAGAACAGAAATGGTAACCACCAAGCCGATGCAGTTTGTGTCTTGTGTTCCACGTTCCTACACCTTTCTACAGCGGAAACATCTGACCGTGACCTCTGTACGAAGGTTCTCCTGTACTTACTCTTATTTGCCCACAAAGTGCCGTTGCCCAGACCAGACAGGAGACTTGTGATGTCATCGCCGCACTCTGACGTCACATTTCCCCGCCAACCGACGATCAGTCTGTTGAGATCAAACACATCCAGCGTCTCCTGTATCCGCCGCGTCCCGGTGCAGGTGACGCCGCGACAGACCAGAAGAAGCAGAGATAGCGCCCTCACACCGACCATGTCTGTGCTTCGACTGACGGCACTTTCACTTGTGTGGCTCCTTCCACACCTCAGTCCTCGTTAACTGGTAACGGGGAGTAGCGCAGTCGGTATAGCGACTGGCTACGGGATGGAAGACAGAGGGGTCGGAGTTCGAGTCCAAGTAGGGTCAAGAATTTTCTATTCTCCACGCTGCCCGGACCGATTCTGGAGCCTATCCAGCCTATCCAATTGGTACCGGGGACTCTTTCTGCGCGAGTAAAGCGGCCGGAGCTTTAAGCTGACCACTCACCTCCATCTAGTGCCGAGGTCAAGAAGATGTGGATCTATATGCAGGGTGTTTCACGACTATAGGGCATAACTGCAGGAGGTGATTTCCTAGGTCTTTGTGATCAAAAAAGTTCATATAAACATTGTCGATTTTCGACGGTTTCGGAGTTATGACCGTTTTAAACTCAGAATAGAAGGTAAGGATTACTGACAATAAACGGAACAAAATAATAAACCAGCATAATACATGATACATTTAAAGTATGAATGTAAAGTTAACTTCGTGAAATTACCTTTAATTTGAATTGATTGATGCTTAAAGCTGATTTTCGAAAATGTCACCGCCGGCCGCAACACAGGCTGCCGCTCGGTTGTGAACCGCGCCGGACATACCAACCCACCTCGCCTTAGGTAGCTCTCAAGTGTCGAGATAACGAGAACGCTCTGTCTGTGGCTGGCTAAAAATAGCGACCCGCCAGCTGACAGACGCGGTTCACACGAGGGCGTGTATGAGAATGATAAAAGCGGTCATAACTCCGTAACCGTCCAAAATCGCACACATGTTTATATGAACTTTTTTGATCATAAAGACCTAGGAAATCACCTCCTGCAGTTATGCCCTAAAGTCGCGAAACATCCTGTATATAAGCCTTCATCGCATGAGCCGAAGCAGCGGGACAGTTTGTCCTTGCTGACGAGGGTGAAGGTCAGATGAGGGACAGGAGCCCACTGTTACTCCACCAAATGGCTTTTATTCAGTTATTTACCTTTTCCTCCTTTAGGTCTTTCCGAATTAAGCCGTTTGACTTTAAGTTCCGAAACTGTTGATGTTAGAAATGCTTGGTATTGTAACCGTCCTTCTTCGGTTCTGCTAGCTCCGGTAGAACAATCCGACTCCTCTCAGGGCGTGTTGGCAGGCCACGACTTGGGTGATTAATGGGGCTTTAGGCGTAGGGAAATCACCTCAACGCCAATTAACTGTAAGGAATCTTTATTTGATTTGCACTAATTAATCAGAAACAGCCAGTATTGTTACACTTCACCGATTCGGGGATGTAGGCTTACTGTTCTGGGGACGCACACTTAATAGTCACAGGGCGTGTTTACGGGGATCCGAACACGTGTACCCCCGGTGAACGTAACTTTCAAAGTCTCTTTGCCAAGCACCCTCTGAATGGTAAATACTTGCCCTGGTTACTCAAAATTCGGGCAAAGGACCTCCCACTTCAGACGATGATTGGCTGGACCGGGCAGACTGGGAGGTTTCTTATCATTCTCCTCCAATTAGGAAAGCGAATCTCCACTAGTGTACAGTTTAGGGGTGAACTTTGCCACCTGCTGCATGGCTGTCAAACTGAGATTTGGGTTAGCAGAAACGACGCTGCTAAATTTATGACTCCCCCTGTCAAGTCTAGAATTTCTAAAGAACTCGGCCTTCTTTACTCATTAAATTGACTGGTTTACTAAAGGGCAGCTGGCTTCAAGCTTGACCCAAGCCACTTGCTGCATGTCTCCAGGGGGGAAAATTCCAAATTGTGAGGCGAAAGTGAGGAATTTCACAAAACCCTAACCATACACAAACATCAATTGGCCTTCCCATAAACTGGACAGTTACAGTATACCCCACCTACCGCGGAGTCAGTGATGTGACTGTTACGTCATCGGTACAAAGTTGCTAGATTCTATTGTCACGTATTTCGGGGTGTGCGTGGTTGATGGTGGATTAATTCACTTATACACTCAACTCGTAACTACAATTAATTATAGCGCAATCGCTATTTCCACACTTTATAATTACAATTCAAGCTGGCCTGGATCCTCGTTATATAGCCTCGGAGCGCCCCCACCCTCCCACAGAAAACACCGCTTCCTCTATTGTTGCGTGTTAATTCACTGCTGCAGAGATGTTTTTACCGCACAGCTGCGTAGCAACGAGCGCGGCGCGGACTACAGAAAACACCGCTCTTCTGTTGTTGCGCGCTTTCGCTTCCGCAGGGAAGTGTTTACTCGATTGTTCCATAGCAACGGTTGTCTCTTTGTCTCCACAGCTCCCGCTCTGAGGAAATAGGCCACAATATTTCTGGTATTCATACACTAGTGGGAAATTTAGACATATTTACGCAGGAATTTTCTTCCGTATGGTTGAACACAGGGAGGGCGTGGAAGCGTAGTTAGTTGAGGCACTGTGCTACTAGTCGGAAGGTCACGGGTTCGATTCCCGATGAGATCATTGGATTGCTTCTATTGACCTAAACCTTCCAGCCACACTATGGCCCTGGGGTCGACTCAGCTTCTAACAGAAATGAGTACCAGGAATCTTCCTGGGGGGCAAATTGCGGCCGGCTCGTAAGGCTGACAACCTCACCTCCATCTGTGAGCCGATTGTCTAGAAAATGTGGGAGCCTCGACATCTGACAATCCTGTGGACCTCCACGGTCTGTTACAGGGATACTTTTACCTTTTATGGTTGCATGCAGAAGGTAAAACATTTGCTGAATCGTAGAGTGGGTGGACTCCAGAGCTCGTCAAGCGGAGTTCTGTTTGCTGCATCCTTAATTCTGGTGTATTGTTTGGCTTATTCTTTTGTCCTGAAGAAAGAGGCGATGTTCCTCTAAAACGTCGGTT